TATGCATTTTGTTTCCTTTTCATGCTTTTTGTTAGTGAATGTTTCATGAATTTACAATGACACTCTAAAATCAAACTTTTATTATATCATCTGTTCCTGACGAAATTCACTACTGCACTAGACTCTGTTTTTCGATCATCCAAATTGACACAGATTTTCGCTAATTTGCTCGACCTTACACACATGACAGTTGGAAGATTGCGACATTTTCCATTATTTTTAAGACTTTCATAGGTAATTTTCCTTTTAATGTTAAATCACTTGATAGGTCATTTCATCGAACTTTTAGGTCATCAGAAACCAAGCTCAATATTATTCACGTTAGTGTGGTCAATTATTTGTCGAATGTTCAGCTGAACATCGCTCTAGCCTGCACATGCTGGTGTGGTAGTGTGGTTCACTTGTTTGTTAGTATGGGGTAGATATAAGGGCAGAGGAGAGGACAATCAAGAGGTACTACTCACATACACGCCTGACGTACATCGCAGAAACTACCGATTAGAGCAGTCAGTACTTATACGACAGTAGTTGACTTCGACCTAAATACGTAGCTACGATGGAAATTTCGCCACAGTCAGGGCTGGAAACATTGGGCCGACGCTTGTAAAGCTGGGGGAGGAGTATCTCACTTCGAGAGATACCCGGATGAGGAAAATTCCATAGAGCGTCGTTTTCCTTGGTGCTAGATATCAAATTGTAGTGTCGAAGGAAAACAGAAACCTACCCTGTTCCGAGGCTGCACAGCCCGCTACGGGCTTAGGGCCACCTGCGGTGACCCAGCCTCTCGGCCATGGGATAAAAGATTCGTGTTGTTAACACGAAAACATACCTCCACCGTATGCTGGTCTTCATAACCTTAGGGTGAGCTTTCTCATCGGCACTCAGCAATAGATTGCAATAGACAAGGAGTCCGAGTTTGCAATAGACTCGGACATTTGCAAGGAAAGAGAACGGTTATTATTTTTGCCCGGTCGGGAATCGACGCCGGGGCTGCTCCGTGGAAAGCAAGCATGCCAACCAACGAGCCACCGAGAGCTTGAAGAGAAAACCACCAGTGTATAATACGCTTACTGGACTAATGACCGCAATACAGGATACGCTCGTAAACACTAAATTCTCAATCAACCACATTACACCCTAAGCTAACGACTTCTCTTCATTTATCTGAAGTAATGTAACGTTTGTAAGTTTGTCTAAGTGAAGAGTAGGGAACAAGAACTAGGACGGAAAGATCGCAGACGGCTCTTGGCCCGTTTGTTAACTTTTTTGTGGCATTTGTTTGTCAACAATCGGAAAACAGATGCCGCTGGGAGGAGAAATTCGGGGCCGACCTACACGTCGGAGTATGAAGGAATTCCATAGCAGATACCTTCGGCCATTATAATTCTCCTCCAATTAGTGGTTGAATTTGACTTAGTAGCTAGTGTAAAAATCCCTTACCCGCTGAACTTGATACCTATGGTCCACGGATATCTATGCTAAATAGGTAACGTGTAACCGATGAGCAATTATTTTTCAATTACTCGTACCTTCCTTTCGATGGTTGTCAGTCACCATACATAAATCTATTACTCATGGAACTCGAGACCTATGGTCAACGAATATCTATGCTAAATAGGTAACGGGTAACCGATGAGCAATTATTTTCAATTACCTTCCTTGGGATGGTTGTCGGTAGAGGACATCATTCATAATGGATGGTGATACGAGATACAGAAGAATGAAAGAGACTAGTGATCTCGAAAGTGACTCGTAAGAGAAAGAAACCAACCATGGCTCACAAAATAACTTTCGCGAAGCGGAATTCGTCTCTAGACACTACTCCTAGTCCTTGAGGTAACGTATCAAACAATCACGAAGAGACCACGATGAACACTTGCATGTGAAGATTTTCTTCGGAGATTGAAACGATATGACGTTTATTCGATGAATTTGTTTAATCATATATAATCGTTTCTGATTTTATTTGATGTCCCCTTTCTAAGTGTAGAAAACAATGTTGTGCAATTGTCTCGTAAAGGAATTAACAACATAACTTACGGAAACTACAACCAATCCACAGGTCTAAATATAACTTGATGTACGAGTAATAAAAATGTTTTATATTATAATCTTGAAAAACTTATTAAACATTTATTAAAAATATTACTTTGTTGAGAGGCATATTCGCTCCTGCCCTATTTCCTTAGCTTGGTTTTCTTGTTCTCAAACTCTATATTTGTACAATAAAGATCATTCAGACAGACATCGCTATTCTAATTTTCCAGAACTTTGACGATAGCTACAGCATCAATATCAACTAACACAAATATCTAACAGATGAATGGAAGAAACAGAAAAAAGGGATTTTTTTAGACCTTGTGTCATTTCTGTTGCAGGTCTCGTTTCTAAAAGCAAGAAAAACAGATTCTCTCGAAAGTTCTTGAGAGACGAACATTATTGAACATGACATATTATTCGTTCAGCCAACGTAAGAGCACAATAATATTAATATTAAT